GCTGTGGAACCACAGGCCCACCTCAGCTCCAGCCTCACTGCCCATGAGCAGACAAGGACTGCCAACGTTTGGATGGGGGCTAAAGGATTGTAACTGCTGAGCAAACATCATCATCCATCACGTGATTAGCAGAGAATCTGCCCAAGCTTCAGGGATTAGGTACGAAGAACACTCGTGCTGAAGCAAATCCTGCTGCCACAAAACCACATGGTGATGCTGGGGTTGGACCAAATTGAGCTGGACCACTCGTGATGGAGATGCCTCACACCACCCCACTGACACCTGTGGATCATGGCCAGGAAACAGCCACCTGTGTGCTATGGAAACTGTCCCCACTGAAATCACCTCCCCCGTGTGTGGGGGAAGAGTCACAGAGAGAAATAAAGGGCCTCCAAGACAAGAGAGTAAAGAAATATTTATAGGTAAAAGAGCCCTGTCTCACAGCAATGCACACCTCAACAAGGTACACAGCCATTTGTGATAAATACACAGCACAGAGTCACAAAAATCCTCCGAGATTTTGTATGTATTAGCTATAACTTTATGTATGGCCACAGTAATTGTATTTGGTTTTCCACCCCGTAATTCCACACTGAACACACTGAGCAGTTTGAGTAAACAGCTCAAAAGACTTCCTGAAAATTTTGCAGGAACACACAGTGATAAAAAAGCAGAAGAATTAATCTGAGTTCTTCTCCATTTAAGAGATATTATTAACTGAGTCTACCAACACAAAATCTCATGACAACACAAACAACTGCCCCTTTCAAGCATCCAAGTACAGAAGTCTTTCCTATTTGCTATAAATTCTGCTCGTGCATGCCTGAATTTTGGCGCAGACACACATTTCTTCCCTGCTCAACTGTTTTTCACACAAGCTGACCAGAACATCTTCACAGTATCCACAGAGTGTAATTATAAAGCAGTTTGACATTGTTTGGACACACAAATTTACCAGATCAGTTACATAAAATTTGATGCATAATCTTGGAGTAGTGTTTAAAAATAAAAAAAAAAAGTCACGTTAAAGAAGAAAGTTAATGAAGAAAGCCAACTCTCGGGCATCATACCATAGCTCTTGAACAGTTCAGGTTGCTTCAAGGGCAGTTCAACAGTTTCTCTAATAGTTCTGAGCTGGCTGCTTAAGCCTCCTATCATGTCGTAGGTGACCCGGGACTGACACTCGCCATCCTCTGCTACACTGGTCCTTGGTTGAATAAAATTGATTTTAGTTCTTGAGGAAATGAAGTAAAAACAATCTGTATTGCTCACTGCTCCGATTCTGCCAGTTAGTGGGAGTCCCCCAGTGCTGCCTTCCCCAGCCAGCTCCAGATCCTGGGTGAGGTCTGCACCATCTCCCCTGCTGGTTTTGTCCCCGTGCCCAGAGTCTGGAGCGCTGGGGGTGACTGGTGAGCCTGGATCCATGGCTTTGCTCGGGGTGCTCATGGAGGCAACCTCTGGACTGTCACCAATGCCCATCCTGCCGAGCTGCAAGGACAAGTCTAAGGCACTGCTCTCCAAATCAGACCTCTCAAGGTCTGGCTCATTGGAATCGCCGGGAATGGCGCTGCCCTGGGCAAGCAGCTCTGCGCCGTCAGTCCCCTTCACTTTCATCACCACGATGTTGCAAAGTTTGCCATAGTAAGTGAAAGCCAAGAGGTTTCCTGGCAGGACTATTTTCCCATCTATAAGATTAAAGAAGAAAAAAAGACAAAGATGACACTATTTCAATCTACTTTGGTAGCAATTAACATTCAGACATTCTTGCATCAGAATAATTCTTTATCAGGAAGCTTAGAAAGTGCTATAAATTAACATAATAAAAGGTAATTATGAGGTAACTTCAGGTTCTCTGAATGATCCTTTTGTGCACAAGCAGACTCTACACATGATACTGACAAATGTTTATCCAGTAATCTCCTAGACTTAAACTCATGATTAATTTCATCTTCTAAAATTTTAAACAAAGGGAGGACTTTGGAATTAATGTTGGAAGTAAAAATTTTATATTCACTACCTTGAGTAACTTACCTTGCTTTTTTGCCTTCCTTATGTATACCTACCACCCAATGAAGAGCAACTTTACTTATTTACCACCGACATAAAAAAAACCAGACTCAGAGATTGGAATTTCAACTTAATGTCAATCCTTTAACTTGTTACTAATGTGCAGCAGTGCACTCTTTTCCTCACAGTGCAAGTAAACTCTGGAGTGCCCCACAGCAGAATCAGCCTGAAGGCTGTCAGTGGGTATTGAACACTCCTAACTTGAGCCAGCAATACAAGCAATGGACAGGAGAAATGGAACCACAACTAATGCAAATTAGATATTTGCAACATGATGTAATTGGCTAGCCCAAGACAGATCCCTGAACAAAGTGTGAACAAAGTAACATTCCCTATTTTGCCATAAGCCCTTGATTAAGAACACAAAAGGAAAATGTTTGCTCTTGCATCTAGAGCTACAAAAATTGAAGAGTCAAAAGAGAAGCAGCAAAACTCATACCAAGGTTTCTCAGCAGACAGACAGACATTTCCTCAGCATTAACAGTGGCATCTTTGTCCCTGTGGTAGGAAGGGAAAAAATTGGTTTTCCAAGCACTTAAAACCAAAATGACAGTTCACAGCACTTCACAGTCATCATATCATAAGGACTTAACCCTGAAGGTATTAGACACATAGTAACAAAAGAAGTGTACCTATTTTATCTAGTTTTGCCAAACAAAACGTTGTAATTTACAAAATCCTAAGTTGTATTTTTCATTTCTTAGGATCACAAACAGACAGCACGGGCATCTTAGCTGTCCAGGAATGCTAATCAATGTTACAGGTACTGAGTAATTAGTATTAGAATTTAATCAGGCAGGTCTCTTTCAGCCTTGCAAACACACATACACAACTTCTACTGACTAAAACAGCGCCCTGAGCACTTGCACATCCACTATAAAAACACCCCAAGCTTTTCCACAAAGCATTTTCCAGTCGTTTAGTTAGCTCAGAGCTAAGACTCAGTTCACCCCCACTTTGCAGAAGGAAGTCCACAACCTCTGCAAGCACTCACGCAGCTGCAGGAGGCTGAAAAGCAGCGGCACCGGGGGCACTCACAGCAGATGCAGCTGCTGCAACTCCAAGCGTGAGCAACGGGGGGAGCCCTAAGCCCGCCAGTGAAAGCTGCCTCTCGATTTCAGAGACCAAGAAAGCAGCTTGATGGAAAACAGGTGTATTAAGGTAATTTAGAGGACACTTCTTAATATATCACAGCCTTTCTTGATGAGCTAACACATGGTTATATGCTGCTGGGGTCTGGAGTTGGGGACTGATTCTTTTAAGTGGAGGAAAAGCTAAATTATGCATACAAGCACTACCCAGAGGTGTTTAATTTGCAGAGAATGAAATACACCTGCAAAGCATCTAGAAACCTAGGAAGTACTTGAGCAATAGGACTTCAATGTATTTTTAGTAATTTATGTTAATCAGACTCTACAACGATCCCAATGCCAACTCTGTGAAATGTAAGAGAATGACAAAATTTTGAAGGGAACTGGTTGAATAAAAACCTCAATAAGGTTATAACAGGTTCCATACCTCAACTTCACATCGATTTCCTCTGCCTGGATGACTGCACCCGTCACAGGCTGCACAGTGATGGCATCACCTGGATTTACTTTCAGGTTCTTCTGAGTGGTTTCAACCAGCCCAATTTTCCCCCCTGGGAAGCCTGTGGTGGGCCAAGCAGTACAGACCTAGGAAGAGTTTTCAAGCAAACGCCTGTTAGTTGAGGTCTTGCCTCTCTCATTTCCAGTCAAGGTTAATATGAAGGATTACATTAAAACCTGCTTCCAGTGAGCAAGACACAGGGGGCACTGAGATATTAAGATTTGATCTAAGACACTTGCAAAATTGAAGGGGTTATATTTTGCCTACAAATGTAATAAAAAATTCCACAATGACTCTCTATATATTCTGGAGATGACTCAAAAGCATACACTGTGCTAATTAGAAAAAGCTACACATCAGTGAAAAATAGGTTAGCAAATAACTATACACTTTATTTGCAAGTAAAATAGATGTGTCTGCTCATGCAAGATATAATATGTAACCCATTTACTCACACATGACTTATAAATTTATAGGAAAAAAAATCAGCTGCATGGATTTTTTCCAACATAGAGAATACAGATGCAACTACAGTGCAGAAAACATGGAAGAGCACATTCACCATCTTTCTCAATGCATGATCCATGCTGGTTCCATTGAATACAACAGGAACAGGCTAACAGCACGGGAAAAGCACTTACAGGCTCAAGAAAGGGTCTCACCTCCTGCCGCCCACCAGCAGAGGTGAGCAGGGCCGGCCTCCCTATGCAAAGATCCGCAGATTTCATGCTGCTCAGCGACAGCTGCGCCAGCGCTCTACGCAGCATCTTCGGGACTTTGTCATCTCCTAAAGTTTTCGGGAGAGAAAAAAAAAATTATTATTTTTTCTCCCTTTCCCCTCAGTAACCCCGGGGTTTCGCGCACAGCCCCGCCAGCCCTGGCAGCGCGCGGACCGCCGTGAGGGGGTGCCGCCGTGAGGGGCTGGCAACGCGGGCAGTCCCACGCTGCCGCTCGGTACCACCGCGATTTCGCTACCGCGGGGGTAAAAACAGATTTCATGGGGGCCTGGAGCGAGAGATCTCCCGCTCCCGCCTTCCTGAGGCGCCGGGAGAGTGGCTGGGCAGGGACTCAGATTCAAACGAGGCGCCCTCAGCGCGCCGGGCTGAGGCAGCGGGGCCGGGGCTGCTCGTCGCCGCCTCCCTCACAGCGTACCTGCCTCCACGGCGTCGGCGACACGCAGCTCCAGCGGCCCGCCCGCGGCAGCTCCGAGGGGAGCATCCCGCGGGGAGCCACCGCCAGCGGCCGGGCGCCCCTTGCTCCTCCTTCTGGAAGAGGAGGCAGACATGCTGCCGGCGGCCGGCGCGGAGCTGTTCCGGAGCAGAGGCCGGCACCGCCCCGGGGGCGGCCGCTCCCCGCCCCGCTCAGCGCCATGGCGGGCCCGTGGCGGGGGCTGCTGAGGGCGCGGGGCTGGGCGGCCCTGGCGGGGCTGCGGGCGAGGACGGACAAGTTCGGGGGTGTGAGCGTGGACCTGGGCGAGCTGCGCGGCTCCCCGCGGCTGGAGCGGGCCGCCTTCGGGCGGTGGCTGCGGGGCAAGTGCCGGGCGGGGGTCCCGGGTCCCGGGGCGGGCGGGGGGCCCGCCAGGGGGCGCCCTGAGCCGCCGCCTTCCCCTCACGGAGTCGGAGCCGCGGCCGGGAGGGGAAGGGCGCCGGCGGGAGGGAACTGAGGTGGTTCACGGAACAGTAACGTAGTTAGGGTTGGAAGGGACTTCTGGAGATCATCCAGTCCGATCTCCCGGAGCAGGTGACACAGGAGTGACAAGCCACGGCAGGTGGGTTTGGAATGTCTCCAGAGAAGGAGAGTGCGCGCCCCCACTGGGCAGCCTGTTCCAGTGCTTTGCCTCTCAGTGTGAAGGTATTCTTCCTCCCGTTGAGGTGAAACTTCAGGTGTTTTCAGTTTATGGGCATTGCTCCTTGTGCCGTCAGTGGGCACCACCGAAAAGAGTCTGGCATCATTCTCTTGGCACCCACCTTTGAGGTATTTGGATGGATTGATGAAGTCCCATCTGAGACTCATCTTCAGACTGAACAGGTCCAGCTCCCACAGTCTTTCCTCACAGAGAGATGGTCCAGACCCCTCATCCTTTTTGTGGCCTCCACTGGACCCACTCCAGTAGTTCCTTATCTTCCTTGTACTCAGGAGCCCAGAACTGGACACAGCACTCCAGAAGAGTAGTTCCCCTGTTTCTCATGGCAGACCCCAAATGTAAAAGCCGTCATCTTGCACATGAACACCCAGTTGTACCATATAAAATGTCAGCCTGGCAGCCTCTCAGACTGCTGGTGAGTTTCTCACAACAATGGTTTTACCCTGTGGTAAATGACGTGAAAATACAGATTTTTGCACATTACCAACAGCTATAGTGTGTGGTAAAGTTTAAAGCAGCACAGACCAAGGGCAAAGGGGTCCCTGACCCTCCTCACCTCCCTCTCTTGCAGAGTCCGTGTCTCAGTGGCGGGATGAAGGCCGTGTTGCTGTCTGGCTCCATGTCCCCATCCTCCAGAGCAGCCTTGTGGCAGTGGCTGCTTCCCAAGGCTTTGCTTTCCACCACGCTGAGCAGGGCTCGTCCACCCTGACACTGTGGCTGGGTGAGGGGCCCAGCAGGCTGCCAGGGTTCGCCACACACCAGCTGGGGGTTGCAGGTGAGTTACAGGAGTGGCTGCAGCCACAGAAAGCCTTGAAGGAGCCCTTAGGAGCTCCTTCAGTAGGAATTGTTCCTCTGTACAACCAGCACATGGAAACCAGCTGGCTACTGCATTTTGGAATGAAAAAGCAGCCACCAGCATAGAGAAAAAAAGCAGTTCTCTGCTCTGTGTGCTTAATATGTATATCTGTCTAAACTGTGTTCAAGTTAATGTCTGTAAATGGGGAAAACTTGACCCAACAGGGATTGTTCAGGAAGCATCTATTAGCCTGAATTGCAATGGTCTGAAAGCTGATCTAAGCTGTGCCTAGAAATCTTTAATCCAAACATGTATTTTACAAAAAAAACTGCCCACAAACATCATACTCTTATCCATGTAGACCTCCCACAACCAGCTAGAAAGTTGGTCCATAACAGAAAATTTCCAAGGAGCAAGACAGTTTCCCCTTTTTTCTTTTTTCATACAGCACTGCACAAGGGACTGATGATGAGCCAAAAATACAGTCATCTTGAAGTTGGCTTCACCAAATTCCAGTGGTTTTGTTCTCTCACTCAGCAGAGTTCCACAGATAAGCCATTACCCATCCCATCACTCAGTTATCTGTAATTGGAGACTGGTTTGGACCCCTCATGTACTGGTTAGGGGTTACATTAACACACAGAAATTCCGAGGCTGGGGAGAGCACATCTCTCCAGCTGCAGCCCTGGCTTGTTTGTCCTTGGCTTGCAGGGTCTCCGTGGGGTGTTATTTCTCCACAAAGTGGTGTTAAAGCCCATAAACAGAAATTAGAAAAATCTAGTTAGGAAGAGCTCACAAAAGGTGGTTTGTTCTGTGTAGCAGCAGGTCAGGCAAAAGGAAGCTTGGAGGGAAAAAACCCCTTGAATTACAAAGCACTGCTGCTGCCATCAGCAGCGGGAGCCTTCGGTTCCCAGGCCAGCAGAGGGCGGGTGGATGCTGAAGGCAGCCTTGGAGTTTGTCAATGGACATGTTGGAGCATGTTTTCCTGAGGTGTGGAAACCTCACCATTAAAGTATGTGGCATTAAACTGGAGTGGGACAGTGCATTCTCCTCGAGAAGGCTTCCTCACCAGGAGTAACCCGGTGCTTAAGTGAAAGAGAGGTTTTCTGAATTGAACTTGTGCAGCTGAAAGTGCTGCTTGAAAGGAAATCACATAAAAGATGAGTTGTGACCCTGGTGGGCAGCAGAAAGAGCTATAAGAAAAATCCTAACTCTGAAAGACTCACAAATATTTAAAGATAGATTTTCAGAGCATAATTTGCAGCTGTGCTTCAAAACACTTTGTAAGTAGGAAAAAACCTTAAAGAAAACTTTGGTAAGCGCAGGTATACAGATTTCCTAATTTCTTGTATGGATTTTAAAATTGCACAACATATAATGTATGTGTTCTTTGCTACCATTTTTCGAACCTGTACACTTTTAGTCATTATTGGGATTTTCTTCAAAGGACATAAATACTTCAGGAGAGCGTTCTAGGCAGGTAAATGTGAAATGACTGCTGTGTGGGGGTTTTTTTGTCCTTTGTTTTACTCACTGTCAGTGGATCTGGAACACATCTCAAAAATATACTAAGCAGTATGGATACAACCTGGTAGATTTATTCCATTATCTTTCGACTTTAGGAGGTAGACCCTGGACAGGGGAAAGGCTCCATTCTATTTTTAATTCATTTTATTTAAATATTAAAGTATTTAAATATGGATATTGGGGAGGGGGTCAAACACAAGGCTTTCTTTATTCCCTAACCCAAAAGTATTTTAGAGCATGTCTGCAGTAAATAAAAGCAATTTTCTGGTGAGACTCTCTGTCTCAAAGCTGTGGCCAGTCAGTGAAATGCAGGAGTGAGTCCTGTGAGCATCCTGAAATGGAAAGCAGAGATGTGGAGAGTGGTTGGCTGGCCAGCAGGAAGCCAGCACGGGAACAGGGAGCAGGTAGTGAGTCTCATTGCCAAGTAGACCAGCAGCTGCTTTTCCTCCTGTCTGGAGTTTCCCACACGGCAAACGCAGCACAGCCAGGGCTTGTGCCTCAGGACCATGCAGCCAAGTGATGACAAAGGTGTGAATAAGCGGGGTCAGGTCATGTTTTACCAGTCTGGATCAGAGTGGCCAAGCAGAGAGTAGCAAATGTTACTCACTGGGTTTGGCCATTATTGTTCAGAAATAGTGGAATGTGTGATGTGTCTTCCAGCTAAGTTACTACATCTGTTTGGAGGCAGCAGGATTTTCCACATGTGTAAAGATACAGAGGAGTCTCTGATGTATGAAGTGATTAACGTGTTTTTAAAAAGCATTTCCAAAATGCTCCACCTCTGAGGAGGATGTGGCCTGCCATCCAGAAAGTGACATGTTTGTAAATATGACATGTTCGTAAATATGCAACAATGGGATGAGAGGACAAGCTGAGGAAGGAAAGTAAAAGGAGAGGAGGAAAAGTGAAAGGCATTTATTTCCCCCTCACATGGTCTACAAGCCTTACAACACAGCTGTTATTTGCATTGCTACCACCTTAATCCACAAAGTCCTTGGAGCTGAAGGACTCCAGGAAGGAGAGCCTACACACATAGGATCATCAGCCTTGGCCAGTCCTGGTACTTAAGGAAACCTAAAGTGAGCAGCTGCGTTACTGTGAAACTGCACAGGGAGATGGAGGTGGATAGGTTTGATAAGCCATTTACAAAAAGTGACTTAAAAGTAGTTCCCAAGTTGTTTTACAAATACCCGCTCCTGTCTGCTGGTGCTTACAGTGCAGGCAGTGGTATGTGCACTCATTCTGTGGTTGACAAGTGCTTCTCAACACTGAACATCTCTGTATGCATTTTTACATCAATCATAAATAAAACAGGTAGGATAAGGATATTTTTCTCCTCCGTTACTCATTATCTGGAGTTATCTAAGGGATTATTATTTTTTAAATGCTTTTCTTGCCTGTTCCCCAAAAGAGAACATTCTCAACCAAGTGGTATTGTAATAGTGATTACTTGGTTGAATTTCAAGTACAAACCTTCCCAGAAAGTCATCCTGGCATTGGATGATTTAAAGCTCCAGGTACCACATTTGTAGCAGGAGGGAGTTTTAAAAACCACAATTCAGGGTGGTCAAACTGTAATCTCGCTGATGCCAACCAGGTGTGGCCCAGCAAGGGAACACGAGACCAGGCAGCAATTGCTGTTACTGTGTTTTCTTCCTTCTTGCTCTGGATTTAGGTATCCCCTAGCCGAGATTCTGATCACCTCCCTGGGAATTTCACTGCCAAAAATTACTTTCACAGGCTTCAATTTCAGGGGAACAGAGGAAAGCAAACACTTTCTGTTTGATTCAAGCAGCAGTTTCCTGCCTGCACCAGCCCTCCCTGGTCTCAGCAAACCTTTGGCTGAGGAATGGCTTTTCTAGAAAACAAATCTAATAACAAAGTTCCTCCTGGTTTCATTTTGTTGCCTCTTTTAATCATTACAGTAGTTAAACTTGGACACTGCTAAGTATTTACAGGAGGAATTAAATCATAAAGTCACAGGCCACAGGGAGGCAGATATGTGACTACCCTCTTAAAGCATGTCCTTTGACATATCTTGAAGGAAGACTGGTCTTTGAACTATCCTCCTACACATAACTCTGCCATGTATTATTAAAAACAGGATGTTTTTAGCTGGACACTCACTCCTTAACAATTCCTTCCTGTGGGTATAGTTCCCCATAGCATTTTAAATGCACATGTCATCACAGACGTGCCTGTATCCTCCTCCTCCTGCTGTAAAATGACGTGAGCATTTTGTTACCGTTAACCTCTAATTTGAAAGCCATGCATGACTGATGTGGAAAAGATCCTGGTAAAGTTGCACCACAGCTCGTCCTGCTCACCACAGCGCTCTTTAAAATCTGAGAAAAATACCTGTTGTAAGGGAAAGACATTTTTAAAGTATGACCAGCGAGTATGACATAATTAAACATGAAAGCACTTGGGTTCCAGAAAGCAGGAAAACTTGTAATCTGCGGGAGAAAGTCATGGGCTGAGCATGAGGACATAAGGAAAAGCTGCACTTCTCAGTCCGACAGGATTTTTCATGAAGTGAAAGTGTCACTTTTCCACTTGGAAGCAACACTGTTTGATTAAGAAGTTGACTCAGATTATGGTGCAGTTCCTGTCGTGAGTTGTTAGCTGGGTAGTGCGAGTTCAGAGATAGTCACACGGCTGAACATTATCTGTACAGTCAGCCCAGAGTACTAAACCTGGTGTGTTATTATCCCAAAACCACTCAGATCTTCACTACAGCAGGTGGGGGCTGTGTCATTAATTTCACTGAAGAAAAATTCATCCCCCTTAAGGGTGGCTTCTCAGCCAGAGTCACTGGAAAATTCTCTGTTATTTGAGGAAGATTACAGGCCCGTCTCTCCTGAAGCGAGCAGCTTTGCCACATTGTTTGGGTAACCTCTTGATCTTGCATTCTTTAGTTCTGATACTAACACAAGCAAGTTTTTATTTTCATTTCTTGTCTAATCTGGAACTTAAAAGCTGCTATTATTTATCTTGGTACTGCCAATTTTGAATTTTTCTACAGGATATTTAACCTTTTTGAGATATTTTATTGTGCATCCATTTTCCACTGATGAACCACTTTGTGATTCATCCATACAAACGTTGCCAACTGTACATTAGCAAAACATGTTAAATTTTGATTGTTAGGATTGAGTGACATTGTCCAACACTTTCTCTTTTTCAATATTCTTTCTATACCAGGTGCTGTTCTAGATGAAAGCACTGGAAAGGTGTTGGTCGTACAAGACAGAAATAAGGTAAGTTTGTTACAGGATTATAAAATAGAGAAGTTAATTTAGATAAGCCTATTCTGTAACATAAAACAAAATATATTTTATTTTTATTACAGTCCAAAATTGTAATAGTTAAGTTACTTCTTTTTACCAGTATCTTAAACACATCTTGCAACAGATTGCTGAATTCCATATTAAGGGGAAAAAAACCCCAACTCTAAAAATCAACAGCTTTGTTATAAATTATAACTGCAGATTGATTCAGCAGAACTAAGTTTCCTTCCTGTTTTGAGTTTTCTGTTTTCTCCTGTAACTGACCCAGGAGTCCCTGATCTTGTGTTTGGATCCATGCAGACTTCTGGAAAATCCCCACAGCTTGAAACGGATTTTGAGAGAAGGATTTTGATTTGGTTTGGTTTCCAAAATTCCAGGCATATCTGTGGCTTTAAACAAGCAGTAGCACAGTTGGCCATGACCTGGAGACCACCTTGGTCCAGCAGGTGTAAAGATCTTTAATTCCTCACACGTGGAAGCACCGGCCCTCCCTGCACAGGATGCCAGACCAGAGCAGTGCTGTGGTGAGGGTGGCTCGTGTGATGTGGCTTGAGGTCACCAAGCATCCATCACTGACATGTCTGCCTGCCCCTATCAGACTGAGCCCGGTTTTAACTCTGCTGCTGCAGAAAGCTCCCAGGCTCACTGGCAGCTGCCTGTGCTACTCCACTCAAGAGATGTTTAGCCTCCATTACGCTTTCATTTGCAGGTTTAAGTGTTTCATTAAAACTGCATTAATTAACTCTCTAAGAGCTTAGCTAGGTGGACTGAAATACACTTGGATGCATCTTTTTCATTTTATGCAGTTAAAACTGTGCTGGAATCCCACTGGCTGCATTCTCCTGTCTTTCCTGAAATAGCTACTAAGACTTTTCTCCTCAGGACCCAAAACATCAGTTCATTAGGACCTACAACACAGTTAATGAACTTCAGTGAAAGCGTGCTTTCATTGGCAGGTTCAGTCATACCATATGATGAGTTTCTAACACAAAAGACAAGCGTATTTCTCTTCCTCTGAACTTGTTTCCTGTAACTAAAGATGTTTATTTTTCATTTTTGTATGTCATATTTTTACTTACAATAAATAAAATGTCAAGGACTTGGCTTTACGAGGACTTTCAGGCTTTCATTCAGCAATTACCAATTAAAGCATAAACCTACCTCTCATGCTGTAGACTCCAAAAGTGGTTCCAGCTCCAGAGAGTCTCCAGGGACAGAACAGCACGCTGTAAACATTACAAACACAACATTCACTTACCCTTTTAAACACAAAAATATAAATGTGCATGCTTACCTTTTAGTAAATATCTTGAACAGATATCAGAGTAAAAAAAAAATTAACAGCTGTTGGAATTTTAAGAGCTGTTTGGGTTTAATTGTGACAGGACAATTCCACAGCACACAAAGATTTCCAGGAACTAAAAGTAAATCTGTAAATCTGAAACCCAGTAGACAAATATATGTATTTTCCATCTGCACTATTTTTAATCTATTAAATTCCCATCCAAGCCCTTTAAGAATGCCCAGGAAAAAAAAATAATTTTCCAATGTAGTCATTAGGGTTTCAAATCACTGGAAAGCACACAGCTTCCCTGCTATGCTGCACAGACAAAAAAAGGTTTTTTTGGACCAGTGAGCCTCTTTACTGCATTTATTTCTAGGAGAAGGGCAACTTCTTCCTACATAAACTTTTAACAAGGAGAGAAATACAAAGTACATAGAAGTAAAGGTAAAGCCTACGAATCTTTGTGCTTTTGCCAGAGGTGCAGGGACTGGGACTCCTCTAGCAGTGTGAGTAACAACACCAAGCCTGCACTTCACGTTTTAATACTGAACTTTATTGCAAGTCAATAAATGTTTCTCTACATAAATCACACACAAGCCCTAATTTCTCGTATTCCATGGAAATGACAGGTTACACTAAATGATCATTACAGACACACAGAAACATCTTAAAGCCAGTGCAGTATAGAACAGTACAATCATAATACCTGTTTGTAAGATTAAATATATATACATTTTTTAAAAGCCAAAACAATAGAAGTGGAATATATTAGTGATTAAATATAAGATTATATAGTCTATAGCAGCTTTTTAAAAAATATTCAACTACTCTATCTAGCAGCAACATTGTCTAATGACTGTTAGACAGTTTGTATTTTCAATCAGTAGGTGTTTTGTTCCCATAGTTCTTACAGACTGTAGCTGTCTCTAATCATCCTGTCAGCAGGAACAAACAAGTTCCTACTTACTGATATTTGTAAATAACAATACTGCAACTTCAACCAAAAAAAAAGTTATGTGTTAATTGTGTCCTTTGTATTAAAGAGTGCAGCACAGGCTGACTACTTCATTAATGGACTTTTCCTCCAATACAGACTATAAACGCATGGAAATTTCCAGGAGGTCTGTCTAATCCAGGAGAAGACATTGGTAAGTTCTATGACAACAGGTCAGCCATCAGCTGAACTATAGAGACATGAACACCACTGAAATACAGCATGACCCACATTGCTCCTGTGATGGATTGTTTCCTTGAATTAATGGTGAATAGATGGAGTGACACAATCCTGGGACCCTAATGGTAGTAGGGTAGCATGTTCAGGACAAAGAAGTTTTGTGTTTGTAGCATTTACTCTTTTTCACACTTTCTTTTAAATGAGTGCTTGAGGCCAGCTAATTTTTTGTAGGCTGGTCAGATATGCTACAACATGAGCCAGAAGTGCAGAGGATTAAGGTAATCCACATATAGCCCAAATAAAACTGAAACAGGGAGCTCTCGGCTCACGCTGGAATCCAGGGCAGTGACCTCAGGGATTGACTGAGCAAAAATTTCCATTCCAGTACATGCACTTGCTTCCTTCCACCTCCTTCACTTGATTAGTTTGGACCAAAAGCTCCTGGGCGCAGGGCCAGGGTGAAGTGCAGAGCCTCAGTCTTGTGGGTACCTACTCCCAACAGGGACAGGAAGCACTCCTGTGGTAGGAAACAATGCTGGTTTGAGGAATCTTCTCACTTCTCTCCCAACATAGCACAGCTGATGAACATTGCTGCAGTTTATCTTCACGGGTAAATGAACAAGGGTGTTTATAAAGAGAGAAAATCTGGGTTTTTTCTCCTTGTATCTCAGCCCTTAAAATCATGATCCATAAGCTCATGACTTCTTAAGCTGGGTGTCGAGCCCAGGCTTCCTGACTGCTCCACACCTTAGAAATACCTACTGTTTTAGCAGACTCCCTACAACACTGTGTGGTAGGGTTGTATTCCAGTTATTATTTCTATACATGGAGAAGGTTGCTGGTTGTCAGGATATGGCCGAGTTTAGTTTTCATAACTCATGAGTCATGTTTTAAGTCTTTCTGTCAAACCTGGTGATGGAAATCCAAAATATTTGCTGGACAATGTAATGTAAAAAGGTGAAATGGATCCATGTTTTCAAAAGAAACACAAATGCCATGGCTGTTGTCTAGCCAGGCTCCTTCTCACTTCTAGTGCCAGCAGCAGCAGGATTTTTGCACTCAAGGGAGCAACAAATGACCAGCACTGGCATTCTCCAGTGGGACTCCCCAGAGTGATACTGCTACTGAGTACAACAGCAGCCATCCCTCACTTAACAGGTGACATTTTGGCTGGAGCCTGGACTGAAAACCACACAGGAGAAAAGTGTCTTACAGCTTCCCTCCTGCCACTTCTAAACTACAGAATAATAAAAGCTACGATTCTCTGCATCACATCTTACATTACAAGAAGATATAAATTAGTCAAGCATAAAATATAATAAAGCCTAATTTTCCTTTTTCATTCTTACATCAAACCTTAAAAACACAAGTCATACAAGGGACTAAATTTTAAATTACAATTAAAAATTGCAATTACATTGCTTAAAATCCTTTGGTTACATGAAGTGACAACATGCTTGGCTGCCTACTTAAATGAGTGCAAACTGACTCATGCAAGTGACACCAATAGTTTCATAATGCAGATGAAGCGAAGTGCACACATTTTTGTATCTGACTATTTCTGAAACTCCAGCCCTAGTGTTTCTTCTAATTGAATTGTCATTAGTTATTTATATATATACACACATTTAAATAAAAGGGAAACAGAAATGGCGCTTCATCTAAAAGCAAAGCTCAAAGCTTAAATGAAATCCATCATTACTGCAATTTTCTTAGCCACAGCCTGCCTCAGCATTCCTCACAATCTCAAGGTCACTTCTGTAGCCCCTTGTCCACTAACAAAACCACCTGTTACAGGGAGTTACTGTTTCCCATACCTGAAACTACCCCTGAAACATCTGCTTTGTTCCCCTCTGACATGGCAAGATGCAAGCTTCCACAGGATGGTGAATCACAACGAGTCTTTTCAAATGCATTTGCTTTTGGAAGCAAGCCAGCACACATTCCTTACTGAAAATGAACTAACAGGAGCAGGTAACATTGCACAGCAGTTCTGTACATTGACCACTCAAACCAGAGATGACCAGGAGGTTACATTAATTTGGGAAAAGCCAGCTTTAACCTACCAGTACTTACCCCCAGGCAAGTAGGATTTGACTACAAGGAAACTGCAGACTTTGGGGAAATCAGTGGAATATTAAAAAACTTCTTAGGGACTCTTCAATGTGTTACTGAAAGGAAAATCTCTCTGGAGGAGTTCTGGATGGATGGGTGGTTCTCTGGCTGTAATTGGAGCACACAGACCTTGTAGACCCTTAAGGTTCCTGCTGCGTTTGTGGTGAGGAATGTTAGCACTGGTCTCACTCTGGCTGGGGCACACAGAATGCACACATGCAGCACAGATGCAGCATGTTTGCAGCATGTTTCTTGCAAGGGCAAGCTCTGTGCTGCACTGGTGCTGTGGCATATTTGAAACGTCACCTTACTGTTACGGTACATCTTGAAAAGGACCAAGCACCAACTTTCACTTTCTGAAAAGTTTTATCCATTTTGTTACCCCTGGGGGTGAGTGCAGTGAAACTGATCAGGTGCAGAGATCTGACATCAATCAGTACAGGTGCAGCTGCACAGGGTCTGCACCCGAGACTGGGCAGGGGCAAGGAGAGGGATGGCGATCCAAAGGACTGCAAAGAACACTGCAGTGCTGTCTTAGGTTAACGGCTCAGTGGAGCCAGCAGCCATCAGTGTCCATTACAAACCACACCCTGCACAGCATTACCAAAGTAATTCTGTAGGATACACACAGGAAAGGCACACAGCAATTACTGTTCTTTGGGAATCAAAAAATTAGCTTATCCTTGTCTTGGAAAAACAGACCTACATTCTTATGAAGCAGAATAGAGAACATGCTGAGTAAGAGGCTTTCCACCTTTCCAAAAGGTTTAAGGAACGCTAAGTTACTCTCAGATGTATTGTAAGGATTGCTCTTTCCACCCAGGAGACACAGCAGTTCGAGAGGTTTTTGAAGAGACTGGCATCAAGTCAGAGTTCAAGTCCATCCTAAGCATCAGGCAGCAACACAAGCACCCTGGAGCCTTCGGGAAGTCGGACATGTACATCATCTGCCGCATGGAGCCCTCCTCCTTCCGCATCAGCTTCTGCCAGCACGAGTGCCTCCGGTGCGAGTGGATGGACCTGGAGGAGCTGGCCAGGACGGAAAACGCCACACCCATCACCAGCAACGTGGCCAAGCTCTTACTGTTCGGGTACCGGGAAGGGTTTGATAGGATTGACATAACCATGAGGGAGTTCCCAGCTGTCTACACAGGCCTGTTCTACAAGCTCTACCACAGGGAGCTGCCCGAGTCCTACAGAAATATGACATGATAGCAATACATTTCACATTTCCTTATAGTAATAATTTAGAACTATTGCAGTGTTGCATATTATAGTTATCTGTGGACTTCTTTTTAGGTAATTATTAGAACATAATTATTCTCTAATAAGCTAAGATATAAATTATTTTTAAAGGTAATTATTGCTATGAGTGTGCATCAGGTTTCTTCTTCTCTACTCCATAAAGCAAGCACAAGGTAAATAAAATGCATAGGTACCTAGAAGAAAACAAAAGTGTTACTGATCCTGAAAATATATTCAGCAAGTCATTTTACCTCCACACACACTGGCACAATAGCTTTAAAGAGCAATATAAAGACAGTATGGAACATTCATGGTTTAATCTGGCATTTGCAAAAGTAGTTATAATATCAGCAAATAATTGCTTATATTTGGCTACTTTGGAGAGGAGTAAGAAAGACGACATCTTTAGTGCTGTGTCGCATTGGTGCTCACAATCTGCCATGGAAGTCAGCTTTTAGCAGACATGGGAAGGAAAAGGATAGCTTTCTGTCCAGGTCCAGTTTTTGGTCCAGGTTTGTACTGTCCAGTTCTTTTCAGTGCCACGTACCAATCCGAGTATTTCCGTGACCGGTAAGTGTTATAGTTATTGGATTCCAAACGTTCAAAGAAGAAACATTCTTCTGTTGCGTATTTCTAAAAGGGAAAAGAGAAAGCATTACTGGTGTAGCACCACAAATCAATTCTTCACATTCAGGGGACTAATTTAGCAAGAATGTGAGCAGTACCTTTGGTTTTAAGAAATACAGATTAACTATTTCACAACTGAAGAAAGATACGTACTGTGAAAATATTGTTAAAAACACTTACAATAAGAGGTTTTTACCCATGGTTCATTTATTGTCTCTAACACAGATTAAGCAGCTTTTAATTTCCTTTTAATTACTGTGTAATTCTTTGTTCTGATCAGTATAAAGAAGCCTTTAAGAACAAAACCTTTAAGCAGAATATAGACAATTCAGTACAATTGCCCACACTGGAAATTCAGGCAGAGGCACATCAAAAAAGGGTGAAAAAAGAAAAGTCCTTACTTCTCCCCAAAGCATATGCGACATCAGTGCTTTCCTCCAGTCCATTGCCAATGTAAACATTTTGACATAAACCCCATCATTAAGGTGACAAATGACAGCTCAGGCTTCATGAACTGTGTATTCCTTAACATCCCCCAGAGGTGACATTTCAGGAGCTGGACTGCTGTCTAGCAAGAGCGGGATGCCAGCCACTGCACTGTCAGTCTCAGCACCTAGATATCTTGGTTTTTCCTTTCAGATACACTGAAAGTCCAGGCTGCATCCAGAGTGCAGATCTGGCAGTAGAAGCTTTCTCAGCACCTCATGAAACACCTGAACTCTGTTCAAACTAAATGCAGGTTATTCTCACAAACATTCTTTGAGAACAATTTGAATCCATAACATCAAAAGACAAGAATTTCCCTTTGAGTCAAGTCCTTCAAGTCTGGCAAAACCTGGCTGATCACAGCAAAACCAAGTAAGCATGACAGAATGAACAGGTCATATCCTTAAATAACAAATTATTTATCATAAAATACAAGTTTGTCAAAATCCTTCCTTTCATGGGAAGTTTGGGAAATTTATTCATTAAATAAATAATCACATTTCATTCCATAAAGTGAAAGTACTTCATTCTTATAATTAATCTGGAAAGTCAAAATAAGCCATATCAGATGGGAAATGTTTCCATTTTTTCATCAAAAATCTGCTGGAACAGATGCATTTCTGCATAAATATTTTCAGTTAAAAGAGCATTTTCCAAGGGGAGGTTTTGACTATCTGCATTCACAACCAGCCATTTCCTCCAGTGGTAGAGATCACGTCTCCCCCATGACTGATTCTGTTAGTAAGAACATGGAAATGCTCCATTAAAAGCTGCATCATCCAGATTTCCAGACAAGAACCACTGCACCCCCACGCAGGTCACCAGAGTGAGCAGTGGTCCACGGGCTGTGCAATAAATCATCCTGCAAAGCCCCACTCAGAACAAACCCTGCAGCATGTCTCAACAAGTAATTACAAAAACATCCAACAAGATGAAAAGCAGGCCTGAATAAGAATTTGCAAACATATTTCCAAAAACATTAATTTATTTGTAAAACAAGGACACTACACAAATTGATCCTGGACACTGAAAAGTAATTAAACACCCCAGATATTAAAAAGGACAGAGTAGTACTTGAGTGACTGATTAGAGGACTAAATTATGTGTTTAGAAATTCAAGTTCCATAATGTTTTGAAAGAAATTTCAGCAGTGTTTCCCCATGTGCAGTTCACCACAGACATTTCCAGCGTATGCTCTTTGCGAGCTCTCGTGAAACAGCCCTGCTCTAAATGAACAAGAGACACGGGCAATTAGAAGCAGTTTCTTGAATGTGTTTGGAGGCAGAAAATGGTAAAGGCACAGCCAGCCACAGACTGCTGGAAGTCACAGCGTAGAAATCCTCATGGAAAAACATTGCCAGTGCTACAGAAAACAGGCAGGGAATTGCAGCAGCGTTTGTTCGGCTGGTTGGAGAAAAAAAGTCTTAAAGAGAAGAGTTTCCACCTATGAATAACAACAATGTTGCGTGCAGCAAACATGATTCAAGTAATACCCATTTCCAGAAACAACAGCAAAGAAGAGTTTTACAAGCTCAAGTGGGAAGTACAAAGCGACCCAACTTTACATATTCTGAGAGAGTAATTCCGAATGGCTAGACGATACTTTACAAGCATTTTGCCTTACAGGAACTAAGCAAACAAAAACTGCTGCAAGGAAAGTATATTCTACAACCAAACCCACCGTGCAGCAGCAGGTCAGAAATCCCAAATATAAACACACTCCTGTGTTTATGTTTATCATTTCACAAACGGTGCTAGACGCCCTATTTTGACCATTCCGTCAGTCACTCAGGGTACGGAGTGCTATTAGAATGGGAAGCCGAATGCCACCGCACCAGCATCACAGGAAATTCCCAATTATACTTAACTCAAGAATAGCACAGTGGACAACTCCTCACATTTTCTTCAACTGAGCTGTCACACAATATCCGAGTAACTTGAAGCAGGTTCTTTAACTGCATTCCCGAGCCCACACAAAACTCCCTGGAGCCAGAACTGAGGAGCACCCTGGGGAGTCCTGCTCCTGTAAAACTACTTTCAGTCTCATTTCATGGAGGCAGAGGAGGAGAATAAAAAAAAATTTCTACATCCCCTGGCATAAGTCTTTCATCAGCTGCAGTTCAGCCAAGGTTAGGAATGCACATTGCTAGCCACGGCCACAGAGCAGACTTGCACAGAGGCTGAATGGGGCTGTGTGAATACACAAAGCACCAGGGGCTGTTGCAAACCAAAATTCTGGCAAGGTGGATGCCCTGGTGTTTCACCAGATGCTTCACCAGGCACTGAAGGATATAAATGTGGATGAAGCATTTACAGTGTCTAGGTCTCGTAAGCAAAATTAATGTAACTGCATCTCTTAAAGCAAAATTTATCATTTGGCTCAGAGAGACATTAACTCTCTGAGTCTGCTGCACACACTGGCTTTAAAACACAGTTAAAAATTCAGCTGATACCAGTAAAATACATAAGAGTTTAAACTAAAACTAGTCTCACTAGAGAGCAGCTTAATTTACCCACATTTATATAACTTTTAAAATTTTATCATCGCATTTGCAAAAATACTTCTCTTGCCAGTTTTCTAGTTAGGAAATACAAGTGCCCAAAAAAGCTTGAGTCTCTACAAAGAGGAAAATGAGAAAATAATTTATACAGATTAGTGCCATGAACGTAATTTTTAAAAAGAAATTGGCTTTACTTTCCCCTTCAAAGAGGTCTTTTAAAATCACTTTATGTCCAAGTAAGTGAAAGAGGAAAAAATTACTCCCGAGGGTAAAAAGGCAGACACTTTACTCTTCATTTGTTTTTATAATTTCCTGATCACTGTGATTTTTTCCCTCAGACAAGCCATTCCTGTTAAATTTTGCAGCTCCTAGGTAGGGCAGAAATACCCAAATCCTCCTAATCCCTATTCCAAGTAACTGGCAGAAGCTGTGCAGAGCTCATTTCTCCTGATAAATCCCACACCGAGCAGCTGAGTAAGTCCTGCAGGAAGAAAGACCCCGCACAGAGCAAGGGCAGGACACAGCCACAGTGACATCAGGCACGTGCTGCTTACCAGGGCCAGCAGTCTGCCATCCTCCTTCATGGCCAGGAAGCGATTGGCACTGACACCTTTGATGGACACCACTCCTCGCTCCTCCGCCTGAAGCTGCAGCTTAACTGCGAACAAAAAAATAAAAGACAAAAGGTTTCACAGCCATCGTGGGATTGCAGCAGTCAGTGCTTCAAACCCTCCACCACAGAAAGCTTCAGCTTGCAATGAAAATAGTAATTTTTCCACCTTTGGCTTTCTGATCCTATTTTTACAAAGAAAGTAGCTACTTTCGAAATTGCAACAGCAAGATTGAGTTATTCCATCTTCATTTTGCATAAAGGCAGCTTAAAACCCATTAAATTCCTTGAAAGGCCACTTAGAGCACAGGCAGCTACTCCCAAAAAATGGAAGTTTTTCATGGCCATTTTTCCAGAGGTCTCTCTCGAGGTCTGCAGAACAGCAATGGACACTGCACGCACACAGCTCTGTACAGGCAGACTGTCAGCGAGCCTGACTGAGACTGTCCAGGTCCTTATCACTCCCTAAGGGTTCTGGCAGTTCCCAACAGCAAATATCCATTAGTTTACCTCATCCATCCAACAAGTGGGTGGAACAAACAAACAGAACTGCAGCAGGAGGTGAAGGCACCAAAGGCACAAGAAACGGTGGTATACAAAGCAGGAACATGTTTTGCATCAATTAAAAGAAATTAAAGGTTTTATAGAAATGAAAACCTGTAAGGTCCTGTCACACAGCCTTTAGCTACTACCTGTGGATTATTAATACAAAGCCTTAACTGATTTCTGTAGCCATAAATCAAACCCAGCAGTCTGGATGAACACATGAAAGCTTCCCCTTTTGCCTGCCTTTGCCTGTTGTACACAACATCTCAGACAACAGCTTCCTTCACCCACCTGCTTTGGTTCAGCAGGTACTTTATTCCATTTGGAGATGCAGTTTTAAATACCTTGAGCTTTTCAGCCATCAGAATAAATACCTGAAGTGACTGTAAATTTTGGAGAAGCAGCATCTCTTTGGATTCAGAGAGAGGTTGTTGCTTTTTTGGCTTTTTGTTGAAAGGAAAAAAGACAGCACTGCAGAAACCAACTGAAACTCAAGCACCAGGAATACAAGGAACATAAAACTGTTGGGATAATTGCAAACCCTTTTTTAGGGTAAAAGTTAAAAGTCAGGCAAAATTTCATCTCAGAATCAAGTATCCAAAATACAGTGCTCCTAAGTTATGAGGCCAAAATCAGACTTGTGAACAGCTCCAAACACTTTGGTGTAACTCCTTAGCCTCTGGGGAAGCAAGAACGTGGAAAAGTGCTCTGGGCAGGGACTGTGGGAAATGGACTTTTGAGATGTGCCAAGCACACAGCTTTCACCACACACTTAACAAGAACCAGCTGTGGAAAAGCTGAAAATTAATATTAATTACTACAGTGCTGACTTATTATGCTTTGTGACTTTCTCTGGACAAAAACACACATGAAATCCTACAGCATCACACCAGGCCAGAAGTTCAAATTTTGTAAAAATGAACTTCTGGTAAAGGTTTCCAAGTCCTGTAAAAATTTGTATAGCTTGTGAAAAGGAAAAAAAAAAAAAAAAAAAAAAAAAAAAAAAAAAAAAAAACCAAACCCAAAACAAACCCAAGGTATTCCTGCAGAGTTTGAAAAGAGCTGCAATACTGAAAGCTCCAAAAGGAAAATCTGCTTCACTGGGTTTTCCTCTCCAACTCCAAAAACACGTGAATAAACAGAGCCAGAACAGTACTGTGAGTTTTTCAGGTTTCAGTGTTATTTTACAGCTTTATTAATGCAGTGAGTATTTGCCACAGGGTTACACTGAACTGGAGATGCCAAGATACAACACAGCCTTACTGATCAAACCCATTTTGACCACATGATCATCAGCAGAAGCGACAATTTTAGGTTTAGCTCACTGCAAATAAATTGGCTGTAAGAGAAATGTATCACTTGACACCAATGATCTGCATCTTTTACAGCCTTTGGTCACCAACAGCAACAGTGCAGACTCCATCATTTCACATCTACTCCCAATACTTGTTTTCAGCGTAACTGAACCTCAAGATACCATCCATGAAAATCAAATAATTAAGACATCTGTAGCCTAAAAAAAGTAGCAGATTGTTGTGAAAGAGCTCGTTAACCAAGGGCTAAAAAGGCCCATTTTGCCAGATATTCTGGCCCCTCCAGCACGGCAGTGAGTTATTTCCCTGTTCCCATTCATGCCCTGCAATCCACAAGGAACACCAAGCACAAGGCTCTGCTCAATGCCTGCTGGTGTTGTGAGAACACAGAGCTCACCTGCAGAGCAAACTTTCCCAGGACTGCGGCTAAGTCATCATTGATAAGTTACTAAATTAAACAATAAAACCATCTCAAAGGACCCAGGAAATTTACAGCTCCTATTAGAGACTTTCTTGTCTATCATAATAAGCTTAATAGAATCATTCTGCTGAGTAAGAAGGAATGAATTGCAGGACGTACATTTGCACTTTTACACCAGCGGAGAAGCTCTGAGTGATGTAGTTCAAGTGAACCTACAGTGCCTTCCAGTCATACAAAAACGGATAGAGAGGGAATGTTTTTTCCCAACAATACACAGAGGTCTGTTGGAGATTCAGATTCAATGATGTTCTGGCTGAAAAACACAAGCTATGCAGTCCAACCCGAATTTCCACAGAAACCAGTACAATCTGTGACACTAAAGGAAGCTGGAGCACACTGCAGCAGGCACTGAGATGTTCTTTCACAGGGTATGTAGCCAGGACAGATGTACAAGCTGCAGATTCAACAAAACAGCGAATTTCAGAGAGTTACAAATGGGCATTTATTTCACAGCTTGGAGAGACTTTTCTAAGAATATGGAAGTTGAAAAGTAGTATTTAATAGCATTGTGGTTGGCAAAGTTTCAGATTTCTGTTAAAAAATGGATCTTCGTCGTTTTCTTAGAGACCTCCAAAAAATTATTTCCAAGGCAGTTTTGCACAGTCCAGTGGAGACAATAATTTTAAGGACAAGTAGCTAGACAGGAAAGCTGTTAGCAAATGCAGAGACTAGAGAAAACATGAACATTTTCCAAAAGTACTTTTATTGTCCTGAGCACTAGAACTGCAAAATCACACGTACAATGCAAACTCTCAGGTTCTTTTACAGTTCTAATAAACCAAAGCTTTAGAGTGGCCCAGACCCAGGAACTGCACAACTTAAACAGTCCCAAAAGGTTTCATTGCTACGCATTATAAACGGTTCGGCCAGAAATCTCCTTCAAAATCGGTTCATTTCAAAGACCTGGGCAAAACCTAACTTAATACTTCAGAAAAACAGAGCTGCACATTCTGGAAGTTGCTCACTGCTGAGTTGGTACTACCTTTTGACTCCCAGTGGGAATCTGCTGGCAATCCCTTTGCCCGGGGCAATCCCTGTGACCAAAGCCACGTGCTGATATTTCACTCACAGCTGCTGCACTGCCTAAGATGTTCTGGGGCAGGAGAATGCCACAGGATTAGTAAGGAAAAGGGAAAACAAAGGTCACAGGGAGGAGAGAAAGGGACAGAAACACATTTGGAATAAAATAAAAGGCAAACAAAAAGAGCAAAGAGCAGTGAAGACAGCAGGGTAAGGGCAGTGCAGGAGGGTGCTGTCCTGGAGCAGGAGGCAAACTCACACATCTGAAGGAGGTGGAATTTGAGGATGTATTCGCCAAAGGGATTAATAAAACCCCTATTTTCCTACTTCTCCACAAGGAAATGGGAATTCTAACCACTATATCAGAGAAACCATGAAGTAAAAACCAACAATAAGCTTTTAAGCTTCTGACTTTGGATGCATTTCCACAGCAAATAAAGGTTTGATTACAGCCTCAGCTGTATTTTCACTGTAACCCTTCTGGATAACACCCTACAGACAGACTTCAGACTAGAGCTACAGAGTGTCAGCATCACACAAAAGTCAGGTCAGAAGGACTCTCTCTAGTCCAGCCTCCTGCTGAAGAGACTCCATCACTTCACAGTGAGAACCCTGCCTGGCACACTGCAGCTAAGGGAGCAGCTCACAGCCTGGGAAGAGAGGAAAAACTGGATACTATTTCAACCCCCGTTTTCACTAACACACAGCTGCTTTATTGGGACAAAAAGCAAAACACCTCTCACTCAGTTTACGAGAAGGGAGAGTTTCTGTACCCCTAAAAATCCCAGGCTGCACGTCTCTGGATCAATGACTAGTGTTACTACAGTCTGCTGTGGAAAAGCTCAGCCCCAGCCAAAGGCTCAGGGCCCATCTCCAACATATTTGCAGAGGCCCTGTAAGGAAAATCCTTCCACGAGGCCCCCGAGTGACAGTGTGGGGAAGCTGCTGTGCCAGCTCCCACTGCCTATCCTCCCGCACCTCCGTGCCCACAGGAAAGCACAAAGCAGCTATTCTGCAGTCTCACTGCAGAGGTGGGTCAGCTCCAGAGGGAATAAGCACCAGAAACGCAAGGGAGTTCACAAAAAAAGAGGGGAAAAGTAAGACTCAACAACGTTTCGCTAAATGCAACACCCTACAGGCGAATTCCCGCTCCACCATCCTCTGGCTGAAGTTGGCCATTCCTTCGTGCTCGGGGGCAACATCTATTCCCAGCCAGGTGTCCAGGCAAAACACAAGGAGTCAGACGTGCTTGCTCCACACCTAACACGACAAACCCACCCAAACCCAGGGACTGGTTCAAAGCCACACATGCATTTACAAACACACATATATTAACACCCCCCTTCTGGCTTTTCCTGCCTGCTGGATCAGATCCAAACCCCAGCCTGGTGATGCCTACTGTAGCTTTCTCTAAGAATTACAAATATCTTTGTGTCACTCTGTCCCACATCAGCCTCTGACAGTTTCTGGTATCTCTTTCTCAAAGGTACAATTAGCAATTTAACGTCTTCTGCTATTTGGTAAGTGCTGACATACGAGGCATCCCCAAGTCTTCAGACTGTGAACAAGAGAACAACTCCTTGTTTGCTTCCATACACTCATGGTAAAACTGAGCCACTGCCAGAGCCAGTGGCTGATGCACAAACTGCCTAAAACCTGGAACACATATGAGGTGGCAAAAGGAGAAA